CAATTCTCTTTGTAATGATTTTTCTGCCATTAACTCTTTTAGTAGAAGTTGATATCGATTTGAAGTTGCCCATTCCACTACCACCAAATGATGTTGATGAGAATGAAGTAATACCCCCATGATCCAGTGAACTAAATGTAGTAAAATCCTGTATCAAAAGAAGGAAATCCACCTCCAAAAGATGGAAACCCACTGAAGGCAGACAAAAAGGATCTTGCACACGGTTTCGACTCCTATGGGGGCCTCTGCAATTCCCAAGAAAATCGTCAAATGGATTTTCAAAGATGTCAAATGAAAATGGATCCCTTCCACCAAAAATACCCTGAAGACATCATCAGGATTTCGGAATGTGAAGCCAAACTCAAATGGACTACCAAAATGACTTCCGCCTCCACCTCCATTTAATCCTTTTTTGCCATGTTTGTCATAGAGGTCCCGTTTTTTAGCATCTGATAACACCTCATAGGTCTCAGCTACTTGTTTGAATTTTCTCTCTGCCTCTTCCTTATTCTCAGGATTTTTATCAGGATGCCACTTCAGTGCCAATTTACAGCATGCCTATTTAATATCCTCAGGTGAGGCATGTCTATGCACACCTAGAACTTCATAGTAATCCACCATGTTTTAACAGATTGTTGGAACAAGTCCCAAGGAGGTTGACAACCAGAGGCAAGGAAGAGGAGAGGTTGGGCGGTGGAGCCTGTGTTCTCCCCACAGGTCCAGAATGGCTGAAGCTGGTGGAGGCGGTGGCAACAATTCCTCACATTTCCTTTCTCTCCCTTTCTCCTTGGCCATCTTTTGAATCTTGGTTTCACTTGCATTGTATTATAAAATAGACACTGGAGGGGAAGAGAAAGGAATAGTCAGAAATATCACCATAGAAAGCTTGTAAGTCTATTTTCTGCCTATAACTGATTGGAATAACTAAAATGGGGCTACAATGTGCCCAGGGAAAGAGGCTTCCTGTGGAACCTCTGAATTACATAAGACTATAGGTGGAATCCTGAACAGCATCCAGAATCATCAGAGGTGAGAAATTTCCATTTGAAAGGATGGGCAGACCAGCCTGGAGCAGCTAGAAGAACAGAAGTTACTTTTTGAAAGAAAGACAGCAAAAATACAAAACAATTTAGCCAGACTGACTGATTACTACAAGAACAAGCAAGGTGCTTGCCGAGGAGACAACAAGGCAAGTGGTTGGTTTTCCTCTGAGCAAACCCCCTTCCAAGACTAAGACTCAATGTGACTACACACTCTGATTGGTGACCACACTTGTCACCCATAAGAGGAAGTGAGGGAAAAACAGCAATGAAGCTGCAAGCTAAGCACTACAACATTCAATAGACTCCTGTGAACCCGGGTGGAGACCTGGTTGGCCAGCAGTGTGGCAA